GCTTTCGCATACTTCGTTTTAGTGCCTTGTTATTGGCACGATTTATCCCGAAAATGTTTGACTCTTGATAATTTGAGGTATCAAAGCGACTAGGATTGTCTTTAATTACCCCATAAAAATCTTCTTTTGATGATATAATAAATGAATCTGTATCCATGTAGAGTATTTTTGATGATGGGCATTTTAGAGAATGAAAATTATAGAAATAGTCATACATTAACCATTTTGAAAGTTCTAGTACACAAACTCCAATGTATATGGGTTTATCATACAAAATTCTTGATTTAGTGGACTCAATGGCAGCTAAATTTTCACCAAAGATTTCAACACTATGAAAATTATGTCTAGCTATGCGTTGTCTAAGCCCTGCGGAATTCTGTCTTGAATTATAATGTTTAATTAATGTGACCTCACGACGCTTTTCTACATTCTCCATCGTTTTACCGTAGACGGCATTAACTATTAATTTATAAAAGTTTATCTCAAACTCATTCTTTGCTACTTTTCTATGGGATGTATTTATATCAATATAGGGTTTAAGCCAGCAGGATTGCTTGAAAGATAATACTCGCGATATTTTTATCTAAAATCATACCTTGTTCTATACATAACTGCAACTGCTTCAAATGTATTATATATAATATAATTATATAATCTTTTTATCAGATAAATCCGCTATCAATTTTGTTTGTTTTCCGCCTGGAGGAACCTAAGTTTTGGGGCAGAATGGTGTGAGGAAGGATATCCTCACACGCATGGACCCTAAGGGGTTAAGGTCTATCCGGGTTGTCCGGATAACCGGATAACGGCGAATTGCCTGGGAGGGTCTCGCTCAAGGGAGGGGCAACGGAGAGAGAGCCGCGATCAGAGGGCGCTAACAGGGAGAGTAAAGGAGCGCGGAAGAGAGGCGGGATAATGGGATCGGGCCGGCAGTGGTCCAGCGCATGACCATTTATGGCCATGCGATCACGCCACCAGCGGGGTCCCGTTGCGAAGCAGGTGGAAAACAGAAGAGAGGCGCGATAGTGGGATCGGGCCGGCAGTGGTCCAGCGCATGACCATTTATGGCCATGCGATCACGCCACCGGCTTGGTCCCGTTACGAAGCAGGTGGAGAGCATCAGACTAGCCGATGGAAAAATACCGCCGACGCCTGGAGGAAAGTCCCGTTGTTGCTAGGCAGCAACGATGCGGCCGTACGCTAACAAGGAAATAAAAGGAGGCGCGCGACAGCGGCTCGAGACAGTGAAGTGCGGAGAGTGCAAGGTGCATTGGCGAATACCAAGGAAAGTCGAAAAGTTATCTAAGAGCGTCAAGAGAAAGGACCTGGTGTACCGCTCGCTCAACGGAAGGATCCAGTGAGAGCGAACGTGTCGTGTGCGAACTGAGTACGGCGGATTTGGGCCTAACGCTAGGAATCGTTGTCGTACCAGTTCTAAGAGCCGACAGTGCCACGCTTGGGGATTCCGAGGAACGGCGAGTGGTCGAGAAGGACCGATAGTGATCATAGTGCTAAACCAAAGAATAGGCTAAGTTGTCGTCCTTAAGCGTACTTCCTAAGATACTAATAAAGAACTCGTGTATAAAGAAGCAAACCAAGTCTTTCTGCTTTGTCGCCCGGGCAACACCCAAATTCGTTGCAACGAACCCACCGGCCTCTGAGTACGCCAAGCGCACATAAGGCGGACAAAACGGTTCGTTACAACTGGCGCCCAACGTGGGGCCTGGTGACAAAGTAAGATCGATTTAGGGAGGGCAGTGCCGATTTCGAAAGGAAGAAATGGGGAGACGACAATGGATCCACGCGATGAGGAAGGAGGACCTGGTTCAATGTGGCCTAGCCTTTGGACTGCAGCTGGAAGGAACGCTGTCCGAGATGCGCCGGGCATTCAAAGACTGGGTGGAGAAACACGAAGAGGAACCAGAATACGCAGATCTGATCGAAGAGTGGGAGTTACGCGCAGGCAGAACTACACCCACGCCCCAGACGGAGGAAAAGCAAGAGGCGTACAAACGCTTGGCCGTACCCGGCGGCACAGGACAGTCGGGAGTGTGGAAGCTACCGGCAGAGGCCGCGGAGGAACTCATCGCCAGTCTGGCCGTGCCGATGAAGGGTCGATCTCCTAGCCGGCAGCGGACAGAAAGCAAAGAAAGGACGGCCATCCCAGCTCCCTCAGGTCAACGGGAGTCAAGGAGCCTACACCCGACGGGAGACGAACAAGCGAAGAGACAGCTGCGAGCAAGCTATGCGCACGTGGCCAAACAGGTGAGAGAGTGGTCGTTCCGATTCGACGGGACGGCAAAGCCCCTTGAATTTTTGGAGCAGGTCGAATGGTCAGCGGACATGTATGGGCTGGAACTTAATATGATCCCCAGGGCGATGCCCGAGCTGCTGAAGGGACGGGCGCTTACGTGGTTCGTCGCCAACAATAAGCATTGGCAATCCTGGGCGGCTTTCTCACGCAGCTTCCAGGCGTTCTTCCTACCGAGGGGTTATTTTGAAAAATTGCTCAGAACGCGGAAGCAGAGGTGGGGAGAACCCTTCAAGGATTATATGGTGGAGAAGCGGACGCTCGTCCGGCCATTGAAGTGCCCACCAGATTAGGAGTTGGAATTAATCCGAGAGAACAGCATGCCGGGCCTAAGGATGTTCATCCGACCACATAGATGCAAGGATCTGGAAACGCTGATGACCCTGGCGGATGAGTTTGAAGCGCTGGAGAGGGATCGGGTGGAATTCCGACGAGAGGACCCGATGAGTCGGGCGAAGGCCAATAACCCATTCACAAAGACGGCCGGGCCGGAGGTATGTCGACGATGCAAGGAAGAGCCAGTGACCAACACCACCAAGTCTGCGGACCGGAAACCAACGCCATCAACGGCAGAAGAGCAGGTAGACACCAACGTCGAAGGGGGATTCGTAAAGAACCCCGCGCAAGCATGTCGGCTACGAATTGGCGGAGCAGCTGCGGGGAGTCGGACGCGAGCACGAGACGAAGAAACGCGTGCGGCTGGCGGACGGCCACAGTCAAGAGGTGCATACCCAACTCGAAGTAGAAATTGCGTTCGGAGACAAGAAGGTGTGGATGTCGTTGCTCGTGCTACCGGGCGTGATCGACGCGTTGGTCCTCGGCTGGGACTTCCTGACCGCAGTCGGTGCAGAGGTGAGCTGTGCGGGGCACAGGGTTGTGATCCCTGCGAAAGGCCGACGGGACGGACGGCCAGAGGAAAGGCTATCCGTGGCGGTAGTGGAGGCCATTGCGGCACACTCGCCAAGCGGAGGGACGATGACCGAGTCCCCAGAGGAAGGAGGAAACGGTCGAAGGATTCCTCGATCGGGAATTGGCCGAGTTCAAGGAAATGACGGGAACGGCAAACGTAGCGGTGCATACGATCACAATGGGGGTGCACAGCCCATCAAGCAACGATACTCCCCAAGAATCCCAAGATGCAGGCCGAAATCGACCAAAAGGTAGACGAGCTAATCGAGCTGGGATGCATTGAGCCGTCGCGGAGGCCCCTACAGTTCGCCGATCGTGATGGTCAAAAAGAAAACCGGGCAGTGGAGACTGTATGTCGATTTCCGACAGATTAACGCAAAATCGGTTAAAAATGCCTACCCCATGCCAAGGATAGACTTCATCCTGGATCAGTTGAGAGAGGCTCGCTTTATCAGCAGCCTAGATCTGAAGGATGGGTTTGGCAGATTCCCTTGGAAGCGGCCAGCAGGCCGATTACCGCCTTCACGGTACCAGGTAAAGGGCTGTTCCAGTGGAGAGTAATGCCATTTGAACTCCCTGTCTGATCAGGACGACATCATAGTCATAGGAAAGACCCAGGAGGAACACCGGCGGAATCTAAAGGAGGTTTTCAGGCGTCTAAAGAAGGCAAATTTGAGGCTGAAAAAGTGGCTCGAAGTGGACAGAGTTGGTGCCCCTTAAGGAAGGCCGGCTGACACAAAAGCGGTACGAGAACGCATTGTGGCCAGATTTGGAGTGCCAAAGGTAATAATTGACAACGGAGTTCAGTTTAGAGCCGGATTTTCAAAAAGTTTTTAGAACAGATGGGGGTCAGACACCAGTTCACGCACCATACCCAGAGAATCCAGAACCACGAACAGGACGGTAAAAACCATGATTGCACAATCTGCGAGGGGAGCCAGAGATGCTGGGACGAGAAGTGGCCAGAACTCATGTTGGCAGTGAACTCGGGCGTGTCAGACTCAACGGGGTACTCTCCTGCATTTATTGTCCAAGGCCGGGAACTACGTCTGCCAAAAGCCCTATTCGATGAGGAAACAATAGGGACCGGCCAGGGCACGCTCATGCCGGACGAAAACGCGAGCAAGCTGAGAGATTTGTTTCAGTTGGTAAGGTCAAGAAAGAAGTCCGAAGTACGATCGATTCGAGGACGAAGAAGCTGACCAGATGGCGGGCCGTCATTCGCAATCCGGGCGAAAGGTCGGATGGCCTGTTGTTCGCGGGCAGGAATGATGGTCGGCATCCTGGGGTGAGTCTAGGGGGGGCTGGAAAGAGAGGAGAGTGAGATGTGGGATCCCAGGAATCTGGATAGTTACCGTGTAAAAAGCAAATCCACTCGGTCCAGTGATCGAACCACGCTATAGCCGAAAAACCTAAAACAAAATAAGTCGTGATATAAATATAAAAGGAAAAAAAGAAAGGAGAGGTGGACTTATCAGAGATAAGTGTGCTAACGACCCGAGGCGGCTGTGTAGGGTTAACGCGGCGAATAGTTTGGATAAATAGACGTTGGCCGTCTCTCATTGGTAGAAAGAAAGAGCGGACAACGATGAGAGAGAGAGAAGTGAGAGGCTCAGGCAAAGCCCCGTTAGGCAGAACGATGGACAGGACCCAAGAATATAAAAAGGGGGCGCGTCCGTCACTCGGTTTTTTTCGCGCACGTGTCTGGAAAAAAAGGTTAAGATGAGGCAACATATGGAGAGGTATTTGGTGGAGCAACGGAGCTTGATGCGAGGGGATAATGCTCGTTGTCCCGGAGCCAGCGACGAGATCGGCGACGAGGAGGCGTCCCCGAGCTGCAGCTCCTTGCGTCCCCACTGATCTCATCGGAAGGGTCAGTGGAGCCACAGTGTCGCCGTTTGTGTCTTCTGGGGCCAGCGAGGCCGACAGCGATGTAGTTATGACGAGCTGGGAACCGGACCCCAAGAAGGCTCGACCAGTGGCGAAGCGGCCCTCAACAGAGGCGGAGGAGCGACCGACGGTGAGGCGGCGACAGACAGACGCCGAGGAGCGAGAAGCCGATGAGAAGCGGGTCGCGGAGTGGCGGCGGCGGATCGCGCTGGAGGCAGCGAAGGAGGCGCTGCGGCAGCGGCAGGTTTGGGAGGACGCGCAGGCGCTGGCGAAGAAGTTGAAGGCCACGCAGGAGGCGGAGCAGGCGGCCGAGGAAGCCAAGGAAAGGGCCCGGTGGGAGGCGGAGGAGCACCACCGGATGTGTGCGTGAAGAGGTTTGCGGCCGAATTGCGAGAGAAGGAGCGGCAGCAGCAGCAACACCAGTGGCAGGGACCACAAGGCGCGGTGATCGGGCCGTATGTAGCGAGGTGCGTACGGCGGTGCGTGGAGGAATGGTGGCGACCAAATCCTCCACATCACCTGGGCATCGGGGCCGGCACGAGGGAGCCGGAGGCTCCGGAAGAAGCGCGGGTGTGGAGGAGACGCCCCGGGGGATGGCCGCGACCCAAGGGGCGATCGGCGGCAGCGGAACCGGCAGCGGCGAGCGCGGCGGGAGAGTCGGGCGGGCAGCGGAACCAGCAGTGGAACCAGCAACGCCGGGAGCGGCGGCAGCGGAGCCCACAGCGGAACCAGCAACGGCGAGCGCGGTGGCGGCAGCGGAGCCAGCAACGGCGAGCGCGGCGGCAGAGTCGTCGGCGGCAGCGGAGCCCAGAGCGGAACCAGCAACGGCGAGCGCGGCGGCAGAGTCGGCGGCGGTAGCGGAGCCAGCGACGGCGAGCGCGGCGGCAGCGGAACCAGCAGTGGAACCAGCAACGCCGGGCGCGGCGGCAGAGGCGGCGGCGGCGGCGAGGCGGCAGCCCACAGCGGAACCAGCAAAGGCGAAGGCGGCGGCAGAGTCGCGGCGGCGGCGGAGCCAGAGGCGAGCGCAGCGGCAAGTCGCCGCGGCAGCGGAGCCAGCGACGGCGAGCGCGGCGACGACGGCAGCGAACGCGGCAGCGGAGCCAGCCGCGAGCGCGGCGAGGAGAGTCACCTGAGCCATGGGAGCGGGGTCCGTGGCGGTGGCCCGCGCCGGAAGCCAGGCGCGCAAATCCAAGGCCGGAGCGGCAGTTGTCGTGTCCAGGAGGAGCGGGAGAGGCCGCGGGCGCCCATGCAGCGCCAGGCGTCGTGGCCGCAGGCACAGCTAGGGGCGGAGGGCCCACGCTGGCGGCCCGTGAGACGGGAGGGTGGCCAGGGGGTGGAGTGCGTCCTGGCTCGAACGAGGTTCACCTCGAGGCGCATCAAGCGGCGGGGAATGACGGAGGGGTCCGGTACCGGGTAACGGTGTCCCGGGACCACCAGGAGGTGTTCCGAGAAGCTGGGGCTCTTAAGAACATAATAAACAGATTGAGAAAAAAAAACAAAGGAAAGCAGACTTACGGGGGAGGAGGGGGGCCACCGCGAGCCGTGGCAGAGCGGCGGCAGAGGCCGGCGAGCCACGGCCGAGATGAATGGGGCTGCCGAGGAAGGGAAAGGTACCGGAACGGTACCGCACGGTGGTCGATACGCAGGTGAGGGCAAGCGATCCGAGCCGGTGACTAAAGGATGACATGTGAGAGGGCTGGTCGGTGTAAAATAGTTGTAAAGTCACTTACCAACGTCCATTAACAATTCCTCGTTGCGGAAGTGGAGTACGCACGCGGCCAAGAAAGCGATATCGAGTAGGACAGAAAACCATCCCTACATCACATTGATGGCGTATATGCAGCCCTGTGATAGTCGCGCGCGCGTGCGCATTTCACCGATCCGGCAGCACTCCATCAGGTAAGCCCGGGGGGGCACCAGAACGCGCCCGGTTCGGAGGGGTCGCTAGAACGCGCCCGGTTAAAAGCGCGGGCGGCCGTTTGAATTTAAAATTTAACGGCAGGTGGTACAAGAGGACGCAGAAGGGAGTTTTCCGTTAGGGAAGAAAGGGGGAAGTGTGAGGAATGATATCCTCACACGCATGGACCCTAAGGGGTTAAAGTCTATCCGGGTTGTCCGGATAACCGGATAACGGCGAATTGCCTGGGAGGGTCTCGCTCAAGGGAGGGGCAACGGAGAGAGAGCCGTGATCAGAGGGCGCTACCAGGGAGAGTAAAGGAGCGCGGAAGAGAGGCGGGATAATGGGATCGGGCCGGCAGTGGTCCAGCGCATGACCATTTATGGCCATGCGATCACGCCACCAGCGGGGTCCCGTTGCGAAGCAGGTGGAAAACAGAAGAGAGGCGCGATAGTGGGATCGGGCCGGCAGTGGTCCAGCGCATGACCATTTATGGCCATGCGATCACGCCACCGGTTTGGTCCCGTTACGAAGCAGGTGGAGAGCATCAGACTAGCCGATGGAAAAATACCGCCGACGCCTGGAGGAAAGTCCCGTTGTTGCTAGGCAGCAACGATGCGGCCGTACGCTAACAAGGAAATAAAAGGAGGCGCGCGACAGCGGCTCGGGACAGTGAAGTGCGGAGAGTGCAAGTGCGTGCATTGGCGAATACCAAGGAAAGTTTCGAAAGAGCGTCAAGAGAAAGGACCTGGTGTACCGCCGTAAAGGTTACGGAAGGTCCATTGAGAGCGAACGTGTCGTGTGCGAACTGAGTACGGCGGATTTGGGCCTAACGCTAGGAATCGTTGTCGTACCAGTTCTAAGAGCCGACAGTGCCACGCTTGGGGATTCCGAGGAACGGCGAGTGGTCGAGAAGGACCGATAGTGATCATAGTGCTAAACCAAAGAATAGGCTAAGTTGTCGTCCTTAAGCGTACTTCCTAAGATACCAATAAAGAACTCGTGTATAAAGAAGCCAACCAAGTCTTTCTGCTTTGTTGCCCAGGCAACATCCAAATTCGTTGCAACGAACCCACCGGCCGCTGAGTACGCCAAGCGCACAAGAGGCGAACAAAACGGTTCGTTACAACTGGCGCCCAACGTGGGGCCTGGTGACAAAGTAAGATCGATTTAGGGAAGGCAGTGCCGAGTTCGAAAGGAAGAAATGGGGAGACGACAATGGATCCATGCGATGAGGATGGAGGACCTGGTTCAATGTAGCCTAGCCTTTGGACTGCAGCTGGAAGGTACGCTGTCCGAGATGCGCCGGGCATTCAAAGACTGGGTGGAGAACCATGAAGAGGAACCAGAATACGCCGATCTGATCGAAGAATGGGAGCGTACGAACGCTTGGCCGTACCCGGCGGCACGGGACAGTCGGGAGTGTGGAAACTGCCGGCAGAGGCCGCGGAGGAGCTCATCACCAGTCTGGCCGTGCCGATGAAGAGTCGATCCCCTAGCCGACAGCGGACAGAAAGCAAAGAGAGGACGGCCATCCCAGCTCCCTCAGGTAAACGGGAATCAAGGAGGCCACACCCGACGGGAGACGAACAAGCGAAGAGGCAGTTGCGAGCAAGCTATGCCCACGTGTTCAAACAGGTGAGGGAGTGGTCTTTCCGATTCGACGGGACGGCAAAGCCCCTTGAATTTTGGGAGCAGGTGTAATGTTCAGCGGACATGTATAAGCTGGAACTTAATATGATCCCCAGGGCGATGCCCGAGCTGCTGAAGGGACGGGCGCTTACGTGGTTCGTCGCCAATAATAAGCATTGGCAATCCTGGGCGGCTTTCTCACGCAGCTTCCAGGCGTTGTTCCTACCGAGGGGTTATTTCAAAAAATTGCTCCAGGAGGTGAGAACACGGAAGCAGAAATGGGGAGAACGCTTCAAGGACTATATGGTGGAGATGCAGACGCTCGTCCGGCCATTGAAGTGCCCACCAGAGGAGGAGTTGGAATTAATCCGAGAGAACAGCATGCCGGGCCTAAGGATGTTCATCAGACCACATAGATGCAAGGATCTGGAAACGCTGATGACCCTGGCGGATGAGTTTGAAGCGCTGGAGAGGGATCGGGTGGAATTCCAACGAGAGGACCCGACGAGTGGGGCGAATGCCAATAACCCATTCACAAAGACGGCCGGGCCGGAGGTATGTCGACGATGCAAGGAAGAGCCAGTGACCAACACCACCAAGTCGGCAGACCAGAAACCAACGCCATCAACGGCAGAAGAGCAGGTAGACACCAACGTCGAAGGGGGATTCGTAAAGAACCCCGCGCAAGCATGTCGGCTACGAATTGGCGGAGCAGCTGGGGGGAGTCGGACGCGAGCACGAGACGAAGACACGCGTGCGGCTGGCGGACGGCCACAGTCAAGAGGTGCATACCCAACTCGAAGTAGAAATTGCGTTCGGAGACAAGAAGGTGTGGATGTCGTTGCTCGTGCTACCGGGCGTGATCGACGCGTTGGTCCTCGGCTGGGACTTCCTGACCGCAGTCGGTGCAGAGGTGAGCTGTGCGGGGCACAGGGTTGTGATCCCTGCGAAAGGCCGACGGGACGGACGGCCAGAGGAAAGGCTATCCGTGGCGGTAGTGGAGGCCATTGCGGCACACTCGCCAAGCGGAGGGACGATGACCGAGTCCCCAGAGGAAGGAGGAAACGGTCGAAGGATTCCTCGATCGGGAATTGGCCGAGTTCAAGGAAATGACGGGAACGGCAAACGTAGCGGTGCATACGATCACAATGGGGGATGCACAGCCCATCAAGCAACGATACTACCCCAAGAATCCCAAGATGCAGGCCGAAATCGACCAAAAGGTAGACGAGCTAATCGAGCTGGGATGCATTGAGCCGTCGCGGAGCCCCTACAGTTCGCCGATCGTGATGGTCAAAAAGAAAACCGGGCAGTGGAGACTGTATGTCGATTTCCGACAGATTAACGCAAAATCGGTTAAGAATGCCTACCCCATGCCAAGGATAGACTTCATCCTGGATCAGTTGAGAGAGGCTCGCTTTATCAGCAGCCTAGATCTGAAGGATGGGTATTGGCAGATTCCCTTGGAAGCGGCCAGCAGGCCGATTACCGCCTTCACGGTACCAGGTAAAGGGCTGTTCCAGTGGAAGGTAATGCCATTTGAACTACACTCCGCGTCCTATCAGGACGACATCATAGTCATAGGAAAGACCCAGGAGGAACACCGGCGGAATCTAAAGGAGGTTTTCAGGCGTCTAAAGAAGGCAAATTTGAGGCTGAAAAAGTGGCTCGAAGTGGACAGAGTTGGTGCCCCTAAGGAAGGCCACGGCTGAGACACTCACAAAAGCGGTACGAGAACGCATTGTGGCCAGATTCGGAGTGCCGAAGGTAATAATTACGGACAACGGAGTTCAGTTTACGAGCCGGATTTTCAAAAAGTTTTTAGAACAGATGGGGGTCAGACACCAGTTCACAGCACCATATACGCCCCAGGAGAATCCCACGGAACGCACGAACAGGACGGTAAAAACCATGATTGCGCAATTCTGCGAGGGGGACCAGAGATGCTGGGACGAGAAGTGGCCAGAACTCATGTTGGCAGTGAACTCGGGCGTGTCAGACTCAACGGGGTACTCTCCTGCATTTATTGTCCAAGGCCGGGAACTACGTCTGCCAAAAGCCCTATTCGATGAGGAAACAATAGGGACCGGCCAGGGCACGCTCATGCCGGACGAAAACGCGAGCAAGCTGAGAGATTTGTTTCAGTTGGTAAGGTCAAGAAAGAAGTCCGAAGTACGATCGATCCGAGGACGAAGAAGCTGACCAGATGGCGGGCCGTCATTCGGCAATCCGGGCGAAAGGTCGGATGGCCTGTTGTTCGCGGGCAGGAATGATGGTCGGCATCCTGGGGTGAGTCTAGGGGAGGGCTGGAAAGAGAGGAGAGTGAGATGTGGGATCCCAGGAATCTGGATAGTTACCGTGTACAAAAGCAAATCCACTCGGTCCAGTGATCGAACCACGCTATAGCCGAAAAACCTAAAACAAAATAAGTCGTGATATAAATATAAAAGGAAAAAAAGAAAGGAGAGGTGGACTTATCAGAGATAAGTGTGCCTAACGACCCCGAGGCGGCTGTGTAGGGTTAACGCGGCGAATAGTTTGGATAAACGGTACTTGGCCGTCTCTCATTGGTAGAAGAAAGAGCGGCACAGAATGATGAGAGAGAGCGAAGTGAGAGGCTCAGGCAAAGCCCCGTTAGGCAGAACGATGGACACGGACCCAAGAATATAAAAAGGGGGCGCGTCCGTCACTCGGTTTTTTTCGCGCACGTGTCAGGAAAAAAAGGTTAAGATGAGGCAACAAATGGAGAGGTATTTGGTGGAGCAACGGAGCTTGATGCGACGGGGATACTATGCCTCGTTGTCCCGGAGCCAGCGACGAGCGAATCGGCGACGGAGGGAGGCGTCCCCTGAGCTGCAGCTCCTTGCGTCCCCACTGATCTTATCGGAAGGGTCAGTGGGAGCCACAGTGTCGCCGTTTGTGTCTTCTGGGGCCAGCGAGGCCGACAGCGATGTAGTTATGACGAGCTGGGAACCGGACCCCAAGAAGGCTCGACCAGTGGCGAAGCGGCCCTCAACAGAGGCGGAGGAGCGACCGACGGTGAGGCGGCGACAGACAGACGCCGAGGAGCGAGAAGCCGATGAGAAGCGGGTCGCGGAGTGGCGGCGGCGGATCGCGCTGGAGGCAGCGAAGGAGGCGCTGCGGCAGCGGCAGGTCTGGGAGGACGCGCAGGCGCTGGCGAAGAAGTTGAAGGCCACGCAGGAGGAGGAGCAGGCGGCCGAGGAAGCCAAGGAAAGGGCCCGGTGGGAGGCGGAGGAGCACCACCGGACGTGTGTGCTGAAGAGGTTTGCGGCCGAATTGCGAGAGAAGGAGCGGCAGCAGCAGCAACACCAGTGGCAGGGACCACAAGGCGCGGTGATCGGGCCGTATGTAACGCAGGAGGTGCGTACGGCGGTGCGTGGAGGAATGGTGTGGCACCACCAAATCCTCCACATCACCTGGGCATCGGGGCCGGCACCGAGGGAGCCGGAGGCTCCGGAAGAAGCGCGGGTGTGGGAGGAGACGCCCCGACGGAGCAATGGCCGCGACCCAAGGGGGCGATCGGCGGCAGCGGAACCGGCAGCGGCGAGCGCGGCGGCAGAGTCGGCGGCGGCAGCGGAACCAGCAGTGGAACCAGCAACGCCGGGAGCGGCGGCAGCGGAGCCCACAGCGGAACCAGCAACGGCGAGCGCGGTGGCGGCAGCGGAGCCAGCAACGGCGAGCGCGGCGGCAGAGTCGTCGGCGGCAGCGGAGCCAGCAACGGCGAGCGCGGCGGCAGCGTCGGCGGCGGCAGCGGAGCCAGCGACGGCGAGCGCGGCGGCAGCGGAACCAGCAGTGGAACCAGCAACGCCGGGCGCGGCGGCAGAGGCGGCGGCGGCGGCGGCAGCGGAGCCCACAGCGGAACCAGCAACGGCGAAGGCGGCGGCAGAGTCGGCGGCGGCAGCGGAGCCAGCAACGGCGAGCGCAGCGGCAGAGTCGCCGGCGGCAGCGGAGCCAGCGACGGCGAGCGCGGCGACGACGGACGAACGCGGCAGCGAGCAGCCGCGAGGCGGGGGGGGCTCACCTGAGCCATGGGAGCGGGGTCCGTGGCAGTGGCCCGCGCCGGAAGCCAGGCGCGCAAATCCAAGGCCGGAGCGGCAGTTGTCGTGTCCAGGAGGAGCGGGAGAGACCGCGGGCGCCCATGCAGCGCCAGGCGTCGTGGCCGCAGGCACAGCTAGGGGCGGAGGGCCCACGCTGGCGGCCCGTGAGACGGGAGGAGTGGCCAGGGGCGGTGGAGTGCGTCCTGGCTCGAACGAGGTTCACCTCGAGGCGCATCAAGCGGCTGGTGAATGACGGAGGGGTCCGGTACCGGGTAACGGTGTCCCGGGACCACCAGGAGGTGTTCCGAGAAGCTGGGGCTCGTTAAGAACATAATAAACAGATTGAGAAAAAAAAAACAAACGGAAAGCAGACTTACGGGGAAGGAGGGGAGGCCACCGCGAGCCGTGGCAGAGCGGCGGCAGAGGCCGGCGAGCCACGGCCGAGATGAATGGGGCTGCCGAGGAAGGGAAAGGTACCGGAACGGTACCGCACGGTGGTCGATACGCAGGTGAGGGCAAGCGATCCGAGCCGGTGACTAAAGGATGACATGTGAGAGGGCTGGTCGGTGTAAAATAGTTGTAAAGTCACTTACCAACGTCCATTAACAATTCCTCGTTGCGGAAGTGGAGTACGCACGCGGCCAAGAAAGCGATATCGAGTAGAACAGAAAACCATCCCTACATCACATTGATGGCGTATATGCAGCCCTGTGATAGTCGCGCGCGCGTGCGCATTTCACCGATCCGGCAGCACTCCATCAGGTAAGCCCGGCAGAGGGCACCAGAACGCGCCCGGTCCGGCAGAGGGCGCTAGAACGCGCCCGGTTAAAAGCGCGGGCGGCCGTTTGAATTTAAAATTTAACGGCCGGTGGTACAAGAGGACGCAGAAGGGAGTTTTCCGTTAGGGAAGAAAGGGGGAAGTGTGAGGAATGATATCCTCACACGCATGGACCCTAAGGGGTTAAAGTCTATCCGGGTTGTCCGGATAACCGGATAACGGCGAATTGCCTGGGAGGGTCTCGCTCAAGGGAGGGGCAACGGAGAGAGAGCCGCGATCAGAGGGCGCTACCAGGGAGAGTAAAGGAGCGCGGAAGAGAGGCGGGATAATGGGATCGGGCCGGCAGTGGTCCAGCGCATGACCATTTATGGCCATGCGATCACGCCACCAGCGGGGTCCCGTTGCGAAGCAGGTGGAAAACAGAAGAGAGGCGCGATAGTGGGATCGGGCCGGCAGTGGTCCAGCGCATGACCATTTATGGCCATGCGATCACGCCACCGGTTTGGTCCCGTTACGAAGCAGGTGGAGAGCATCAGACTAGCCGATGGAAAAATACCGCCGACGCCTGGAGGAAAGTCCCGTTGTTGCTAGGCAGCAACGATGCGGCCGTACGCTAACAAGGAAATAAAAGGAGGCGCGCGACAGCGGCTCGAGACAGTGAAGTGCGGAGAGTGCAAGTGCGTGCATTGGCGAATACCAAGGAAAGTCGAAAAGTTATCTAAGAGCGTCAAGAGAAAGGACCTGGTGTACCGCTCGCTCAACGGAAGGATCCAGTGAGAGCGAACGTGTCGTGTGCGAACTGAGTACGGCGGATTTGGGCCTAACGCTAGGAATCGTTGTCGTACCAGTTCTAAGAGCCGACAGTGCCACGCTTGGGGATTCCGAGGAACGGCGAGTGGTCGAGAAGGACCGATAGTGATCATAGTGCTAAACCAAAGAATAGGCTAAGTTGTCGTCCTTAAGCGTACTTCCTAAGATACCAATAAAGAATTCGTGTATAAAGAAGCCAGCCAACCGGTGTTCCTCCTGGGTCTTTCCTATGACTATGATGTCGTCCTGATAGGCAAAGGCATGCGGCATCATTTCGGGTCCAATCACCCTGTCAAGTGCGCGCTGGAATGTTGCAGATGCAGAGTGTAGTCCAAATGGCATCACCTTCCACTGGAACAGCCCTTTACCTGGCACCTTGAAGGCGGTAATCGGCCTGCTGCACAGTGGTCGATTCTGCCAATCTGGCAGGCAATAATTAATAACTAAAAAAATAAATGAGTAATATTTTTAAAAATATTTTTGTATTATGGAATATAAATCAGCGGAGTATTTAAATAAATTTTTATTTTTTATTATTTTTTTTTTAATTAAAAAAAAATTTTTTACGTAAAATTATATCACTAACCCTTTGAATTTGGCGATGTTCTGTGCAGTTAGAAAATGGTTTTGCTGGGCGCCCAGAACTAATTGCAGCTGTTGCAGTAAATATAATTTTTTCGTTCATCAATTTTCGTTGTGTTTTTGAAAATATTGTAAATTTATTTATTTTCTTGCGATCTTCGTCGCTGAGTTTGTTTTCATCAATAATTTGAGAAAAAACATGGCTTCGCATCGCTTCAACTTTTTTTCCTGGCACAGTTTCCATGCGCCATATCGCAAAAAGCGCGTTTTTCGGAACTGACATTATGTCCTACAAAATCAAATAAATTAACGTGTTGCACGTAGTTGCAATTTGTTTTAACACAGAAGATTAAAAAAATACTGGTTTCATAAATAAACGAGAAGGAACGTGTGAGTCGCTTCTTGGGAACGCGACTCCCTTATACCCGTACTCAGTCAGCATATACATTTTTGAGCATATAATTATTTAGAATTAAAAAAAAAAAAACATTTTACATTTTACATTTTTTTGCTACATCTGCTATCTACATTACATATACTATGTATATTCTACATCTAACATGTATATTATACATGTACCATTTAGATTCTACATCTCCTCCGCTAGGGGTTGCTCGCGCACTGAACGCGGCAGAGTGTGCGAGCGAGAAGGAAAATGAGTTGCGTTGTCGTTGTCAGGAGTGGTCAGGGGAAGCAACTGAAAATTGATTTCTTCATTCTGGCTATAATTATAATACGATCTAGTTCAGATTTGCAATCGTAGATATGGGCATCTCTACGATACTGCGTTTTTAGTTTTATCGTATCTTTAAAATTGTGCCTGCCACAGATTTTCGTCCTTTGTGTGGGCGGAAGGGGGCGGGGCGAAATTCTGAATACTTGTAGCAGTGTGATATCACATAAGTCTGGAAACCAAATTTGGTTTCGCTAGCTCTTATAGTCTCTGAGATCCAGGCGCTCATCGAGACGGACAAACGGACGGACGGACGGACATGGCTATATCGACTCGGCTATTGATGCTGATCAAGAATATATACACTTTATGGGGTCGGAAAATTTTCCTTCTCTCCGTTACACACATCCACTTTTACCACAAATCTAATATACCCCTTAACTCTTTTTTGAGTACGGGTATAAAAAAGATTGAAGACGGAAGGGGGCGGATGTCAAAAGATCTATTCCATGCAAGTGTCGGGTACGATATTAATAGCACACTAAAGGAAATGTTAAGTTCTACAACGATTTACCTCTAATACATGCAAGCACGGGACCAACACATATATTTTTTATGGAATACTTACCAACTATGATCAAAATGGATGGCAATTTTAATACAAATCGCAAAACATTAAGATTTATTTTGCTTTACCAAAAGCAATAAAAAGGCGGTAAAATGTACTTAGGTATGGACAGAAAAGTTTGCTGCGATTCAACCGCGTGCAGGTACTGGACTATCGATACGAAAAATATATTAATATCGCAATAAATATCAGTGGGATGTTTACTTTCCAAAAAGTAAAAAAAATTAACAAGATTCGACATTTTAATTTTTGATTTACCAGATAGGCAGAATCGACCACTGTGCGCCGTACGCACCTCCTGCGTTACATACGGCCCGATCACCGCGCCTTGTGGTCCCTGCCACTGGTGTTGCTGCTGCTGCCACGAGGCGTCCGCTCCCGGCCGCTGTTGCTATGACGAGGCTTGGGGCCCCTGTCCTTTCTTGGGGACACTAGGCTCTTCCTCGGTCCGTGGCCGTCGCTGCCACAGCTCCTCCTCCTCCTCGTCCGGCGTGGCCTGGCCTCGGCTCTCGGGCTCCGGCGTCGGAGGGGAAGGCTGCCACAGACCCTCCTCCTCCTCTGCGCTCCGCCTCGCCTCTTCCTCGCGGCTCTTCTCCTCGGCCCTCTGCCACTCCTTCTCTCGCAATTCGGCCGCAAACCTCTTCAGCACACACACTGCCGCAGCGCCTCCTTCGCTGCCTCCAGCGCGATCCGCCGCCGCCACTCCGCGACCCGCGAGTCGGACGCGAGCACGAGACGAAGAAACGCGCAGCGGCTGGCGGACGGCCACAGTCAAGAGGTGGTACCCAACTCAAGTAGAAATTGCGTTCGGAGACAAGAAGGTGTGGATGTCGTGCTCGTGCTCACGGGCGTGATCGACGCGTTGCCTCGGCTGGGACTTCCTAACCGCAGTCGGTGCAGAGGTGAGCTGTGCGGGGCACAGGGTTGTGATCCTTCGAAAGGCCGACGGGACGGACGGCCAGAGGAAAGGCTATCCGTGGCGGTTAGTGGAGGCCATTGCGGCACACTCGCCAAGCGGAGGGACGATGACCGAGTCCCCAGAGGAAGGAGGAAACGGTCGAAGGATTCCTGATCGGGAATTGGCCGAGTTCAAGGAAATGACGGGAACGGCAAACGTAGCGGTGCATTCGATCACAATGGGGGATGCACAGCCCATCAAGCAACGATACTACCCCAAGAATCCCAAGATGCAGGCCGAAATCGACCAAAAGGTAGACGAGCTAATCGAGCTGGGATGCATTGAGCGTGGCCAGAACCCCTACAGTTCGCCGATCGTGATGGACTAAAAGGAAACCCGGCAGTGGAGACTGTATGTCGATTTCCGACAGATTAACGCAAAATCGGTTAAGAATGCCTACCCCATGCCAAGGATAGACTTCATCCTGGATCAGTTGAGGAGGCTCGCTTTATCAGCAGCCCTAGATCTGAAGGATGGGTATTGGCAGATTCCCTTGGAAGCGGCCAGCAGGCCGATTACCGCCTTCACGGTACCAGGTAAAGGCTGTTCCAGTGGAAGGTAATGCCATTCGAACTACGCCTCCGCGTCGTAACAACACCATTTATCATAGGGGAAAGACCCAGGAGGAACACCGGCGGAACTAAAGGAGGTTATCAGGCGTCTAAAGAAGGCAAATTTGAGGCTGAAAAAGTGGCTCCGAAGTGGACAGAGTTGGTGCCCCTAAGGAAGGCCATCGGATGAGGACAGCCCACATTAGCGATCTGAAACCGCAACCGAGGAGGAGGGGACAAAGGTAATACCCCCAAAGAAGTTCTACACGAAGGCGGAAAGGAAAAAAGTTGGAGGAGCCAATGCGGGTCGACAGCAGGATCGGGGCGAGAAGATCTGGAAGGGATAAACGTTAAAATCGGAAGGGTAAAAAGGTCAAGAAAGATACACCAGGTGTGGAATCGCGGGATACGAGAAGGGTGAGGTGCGTCAGAACTCACGGTGATCCCAGATGGGGGGTCCGAGGGGGCCAAGATCCGGATCCAATCCAGGACACCATGGACGGTTTCGAGCGTCGGGAACGATCAAATCGGATGCCGCCCGTACGCGGTCTGCCGGGCGGGAACGCGAGCAAGCTGAGGATCCGTAGCTGCTGTACGGGGGGACGTCCGAAGTACGATCGATTCGAGGACGGAAGAAGCTGACCAGGTGGCGGGCCGTCATTCGGCAACCCGGGCGAAAGGCCGGAGGGCCTGTTGTTCGCGGGCGGGAATGATGGTCGGCATCCTGGGGTGAGTCTAGGGTCGGGCTGGAAAGAGAGGAAAGTGAGAGGTGGGATCCCAGGAATCTGGATAGTTACCGTATACAAAAGCAAATCCACTCGGTCCAGTGATCGAACCACGCTATAGCCGAAAAACCTCAAACAAAATAAGTCGTGATACAAATATGAAGAAAAAAAAAAGAAAAGGAGAGGTGGACTTATCAGAGACAAGTGTGCCTAACGACCCTGGATAAACGGTAATTGGCCGTCTCTCATTGGTAGAAGAAAGAGAGGCACAGAATGATGAGAGAGAGCGAAGTGATAGGCTCAGGCAAAGCCCCGTTAGGCGGAATGATGGACACGGACCCAAGAATATGAAAAGGGGAGCGCGTCCGTCACTCGGTTGTTTTCGCGCACGTGTCAGGAAACAAAAGGTTATGATGAGGCAACACATGGCGAGGTATTTGGCGGAGCAACGGAGCTTGATGCGACGGGGATACTATGCCTCGTTGTCCCGGAGCCAGCGACGAGCGAATCGGCTCTCGCGTGATGGCGAAGGGCGACGGAGGGAGGCGTCCCCTGAGCTGCAGCTCCTTGCGTCCCCACTGATCTCATCGGAAGGGTCAGTGGGAGCCACAGGGTCGCCGTTGGTGTCTCCTGGGGCCAGCGAGGCCGACAGCGATGTGGTGATGACGAGCTGGGAACCGGCCCCCAAGAAGGCTCGACCAGTGGCGAAGCGACCGGCGAAGCGGCCCTCAACAGAGGCGGAGGAGAGACCGACGGTGAGGCGGCCACCGACAGACGCCGAGGAGCGAGAAGCCGAGGAGAAGCGGGTCGCTGGTCGCGATCCAGCGGATCGCGCTGGAGGCAGCGAAGGAGGCGCTGCGGCAGCGGCAGGTCTGGGAGGACGCGCAGGCGCGGGCGAAGAAGGTGAAGGCCACGCAGGAGGCGGAGCAGGCCGGCCGGGGGAAGGAACGGGCCCGGTGGGAGGCGGAGGAGCACCACCGACGGTGTGCGAGACCACCGACGGACGCCGAGGAACGAGAAGCCGAGGAAAGGGGCGTGCAGTGGCCGGGAGGATCGCGCTGGAGGCAGGGAAGGAGGCGAGGCGGCAGCGGCAGGTCTGGGAGGACGCGCAGGCGCTGGCGAAGAAGCTGAAGGCCACGCAGGAGGCGGAGCAGGCGGCCGAGGAGGAAGGAAAAGGCCCGGCGGAAGGCGGCGGACACCACCGGGCGTGGCTGAAGAACGCACGCGAGGAGGAGGGCGGAGGGCCGGGAAGCCGCGAGGAAGGGCGAGGCGGAGCCCGAGGAGGGGTCGGTGGAGCCTTCCCCGGTGCCGGCAGCGGAGCCGACGGAGCAATGGCCGCGACCCAAGGCGGCGATCGGCGGCAGCGGAGCCAGCAGCAGAACCGGCAGCGGCGAGCGCGACGGCAGCGGAGCCAGCCGCGAGCGCAGCGGCAGAGTCGGTGGCGGCAGCGGAGCCAGCGACGGCGAGCGCGGCGGCAGAGTCGGCGACGGCAGCGGACACAGCAGCGGAGCCAGTCGCGAGCGCGGCGGCAGAGTCGGTGGCGGCAGCGGACACGGCAGCGGAACCAGCAACAGCGAACTCGGCAGCGGCGGGAGTAAGCTCACCTGAGCCCTGGGAGCGGCGGAAGTGGCCCGCGCCGTAAGCCAGGCGCGCAAATCCAAGGCCGGAGCGGCAGTTGTCGTGTCCGGAGGAGCGGGAGAGACCGCGGGCGCCCATGCAGCGCCAGGCGTCGTGGCCACAGGCACAGCTAGGGGCGGAGGGCCCACGCTGGCGGCCCGGGTGACGGTGTCCCGGGACCACCAGGAGGTGTTCCGAGAAGCTGGGGCTCATTAAGAAGATAATAAAGAATAGATTGGAAAAAAAACAGAAAACAGACTTACGGGGGAGGAGGGGGGCCACCGCGAGCCGTAGCAGAGCGGCGGCAGAGGCCGGCAAGCCACGGCCGAGATGAATGGGGCGGCCGAGGAAGGGAAAGGTACCGGAACGGTACCGCACGTTGGTCGATACGCAGGTGAGGGCAAGCGATCCGAGCCGGTGACTAAAGGATGAAATGTGAGAGGGCTGGTCGGTGTAAAATAGTTGTAAAGGCACTTACCAACGTCCATTAACAATTCCTCGTTGCAGAAGTGGAGTACGCACGCGGCCAAGAAAGCGATATCGAGTAGGACAGAAAACCATCCCTACATCATATCGATGGCGTATATGCAGCCCTGTGATAGTCGCGCGCGCGTGCGCATTTCATCGATCCGGCAGCACTCCATCAGGTAAGCCCGGCAGAGGGCGCCAGAACGCGCCCGGTTAAAAGCGCGGGCGGCCGTTTGAATGTAAAATATAACGGCCGGTGGTACAAGAGGAAGCAGAAGGGAGTTTTCCGTTAGGGAAGAAAGGGGGAAGTGTGAGAAATGATATCCTCACACGCATGGACCCTAAGGGGTTAAGGTCTATCCGGGTGTCCGGATAGCCGGATAACGGCGAATTGCCTGGGAGGGTCTCGCTCAAGGGAGGGGCAACGGAGAGAGAGCCGTGATCAGAGGGTGCTACCAGGGAGAGTAAAGGAGCGCGGAAGAGAGGCGGGATAATGGGATCGGGCCGGCAGTGGTCCAGCGCATGACCATTTATGGCCATGCGATCACGCCACCAGCGGGGTCCCGTTGCGAAGCAGGTGGAAAGCAGAAGGGAGGCGGGATAGTGGGATCGGGCCGGCAGTGGTCCAGTGCATGACCATTTATGGCCATGCGATCACGCCACCGGTTTGGTCCCGTTACGAAGCAGGTGGAGAGCATCAGACTAGCCGATGGAAAAATACCGCCGCCGCCTGGAGGAAAGTCCCGTTGTTGCTAGGCAGCAACGATGCGGCCGTACGCTAACAAGGAGATAAAAGGAGGCGCGCGACAGCGGCTCGGGACAGTCAAGTGCGGAGAGTGCAAGTGCGTGTATGGGCGAATACCGAGGAAAGTCGGAGAGCTATCTAAAGCGTCAAGAGAAAGGACCTGGTGTACCGCTTGCTCAACGGAAGGATCCAGTGAGAGCGAACGTGTCGTGTGCGAACTGAGTACGGCGGATTTGGGCCTAACGCTAGGAATCGTTGTCGTACCAGTTCTAAGAGCCGACAGTGCCACGCTTGGGGATTCCGAGGAACGGTAAGTGGTGGAGAAGGTCCGATCGTGACAGTGATCATAGTGCGAAACCAACGGAAGGATCCAGTGAGAGCGAACGTGTCGTGTGCGAACTGAGTACGGCGGATTTGGGCCTAACGCTAGGAATCGTGGTCGTACCAGTTCTAAGAGCCGACAGTGCCACGCTTGGGGATTCCGAGGAACGGCGAGTGGACGAGAAGGACCGATAGTGATAGTGATCATAGTGCTAAACCAAAGAATAGGCTAAGTTGTCGTCCTTAAGCGTACTTCCTAAGATACCAATAAAGAACTCGTGTATAAAGAAGCCAACCAAGTCTTTCTGCTTTGTCTCCCGGGCCACACCCAAATTCGTTGCAACGAACCCACCGGCCGCTGAGTACGCCAAGCGCACACAAGGCGGACAAAACGGTTCGTTACAACGTTCGCCCAAAGATGCTGGGACGAGAAGTGGCCAGAACTCATGTTGGCAGTGAACTCGGGCGTGTCAGACTCAACGGGGTACTCTCCTGCATTTATTGTCCAAGGCCGGGAACCACGTCTGCCAAAAGCCCTATTCGATGAGGAAACAATAGGGACCGGCCAGGGCACGCTCACGCCGGACGAAAACGCGAGCAAGCTGAGAGATTTGTTTCAGTTGGTGAGGCGGAACCTGGAAAGGGCAGCGCAGGACCAGGCGAGGTTCTACAATCTGACGAGAAGGCCCTGGAAGCCGAAGATCGGAAAGGTGGTGTGGGCGAAACAACACCAATTATCAAAGGCGGCTGAGGGGTTTGCAGCAAAACTGGCGCCAAAATATGCGGGTCGTACACGATAATGGATTTCGTGTCACCCGTCATCTTCCGACTGAAGAGCGCCAACGACAATCGGATGAGGACAGCCCACATTAGCGATCTGAAACCGCAACCGAGGGAGGAGGGGACATAAGGCATACCCCCAAAGAAGTTCTACACGAAGGCGAAAAGGAAGAAAGGGAAAAGCCAATGCCGCGGCGAATAACAGGATCGGGTGCGAGAAGATCTGGAAGAGATAAACGTTAAAATCGGAAGGGTAAAAAGGTCAAGAAAGATACCCGAACAGGTGTGGAATCGCGGATACGGAAGGTGAGGTGCGTCGGAGTACACGGTGATCCCAGATGGGGGTCCGAGGAGGGGCCAAGATCCGGATCCAATCCAGGACACCATGGGCGGTTTCGATCGTCGGGAACGATCAAATCGGATGCCGCCCGTACGCGGTCTGCCGGGCGGGGAATCGGATGATCCTCGGGTCCGATCTGCTGTACGGGGGGACGTCCGAAGTACGATCGATTCGAGGACGGAAGAAGCTGACCAGGTGGCGGGCCGTCATTCGGCAACCCGGGCGAAAGGCCGGAGGGCCTGTTGTTCGCGGGCGGGAATGATGGTCGGCATCCTGGGGTGAGTCTAGGGTCGGGCTGGAAAGAGAGGAAAGTGAGAGGTGGGATCCCAGGAATCTGGATAGTTACCGTATACAAAAGCAAATCCACTCGGTCCAGTGATCGAACCACGCTATAGCCGAAAAACCTAAAACAAAATAAGTCGTGATATAAATATAAAGAAAAAAAAAAAGAAAAGGAGAGGTGGTCTTATCAGAGACAAGTGTGCCTAACGACCCTGAGGCGGCTGTGTAGGGTTAACGCGGCGAATAGGTTGGATAAACGGTAATTGGCCGTCTCTCATTGGTAGAAGAAAGAGAGGCACAGAATGATGAGAGAGAGCGAAGTGAGAGGGTCAGGCAAAGCCCCGTTAGGCGGAATGATGGCCGGACCCAAGAATATAAAAAGGGGAGCGCGTCCGTCACTCGGTTGTTTTCGCGCACGTGTCAGGAAACAAAAGGTTATGATGAGGCAACACATGGCGAGGTATTTGGCGGAGCAACGGAGCTTGATGCGACGGGGATACTATGCCTCGTTGTCCCGGAGCCAGCGACGAGCGAATCGGCTCTCGCGTGATGGCGAAGGGCGACGGAGGGAGGCGTCCCCTGAGCTGCAGCTCCTTGCGTCCCCACTGATCTCATCGGAAGGGTCAGTGGGAGCCACAGGGTCGCCGTTGGTGTCTCCTGGGGCCAGCGAGGCCGACAGCGATGTGGTGATGACGAGCTGGGAACCGGCCCCCAAGAAGGCTCGAACAGTGGCGAAGCGGCCCTCAACAGAGGCGGAGGAGAGAGAAGCCGAGGAGAAGCGGGTCGCTGGTCGCGATCCAGCGGATCGCGCTGGAGGCAGCGAAGGAGGCGCTGCGGCAGCGGCAGGTCTTGGGAGGACGCGCAGGCGCGGGCGAAGAAGGTGAAGGCCACGCAGGAGGCGGAGCAGGCCGGCCGGCGAAGCGGCCCTCAACAGAGGCGGAGGAGCGACCGACGGTGAGGCGACCACCGTACGTTAACAAGGATATAAAAGGAGGCGCGCGACAGCGGCTCGTGCAACCGTGCGTGATCGACGCGTTGGTGGGCGAATACCGAGGAAAGTCAGAGGTGAGCTAGTGCGAGGGCACAGGGTTGTACCGCTTGCTAAAGCGGAAGGAGGTGCCAGAGGAGAGAACGTGTCGTGTGCGGAAGTAGGAGGCCATTGGGGCTACACTAGCCAATCGGAGGGTCGTGTACCAGTTCTAAGAGCCGACAGTGCCACGCTTGGGGATTCCGAGGAACGGGGATTGGACGAGAAGGACCGATAGTGATAGTGATCATAGGGCTAAACGCAAAGAATAGCTAAGGTGCATACGTCCTTAAGCGTACTTCCTAAGTACCAATAAAGAACTCGTGTATAAAGAAGCCAACCAAGTCTTTCGCTGTCCCCGGGCAACACCGAGCTGGATGCATTGAACCGTCGCAAAGCCCCCTACAGTTCGCCGAGCGTAGCACACAAGGCGGCAAGACGGTTCGTTACAACGTTACCCAAAATGCTGGGACGAGAAGTGGCCGAACTCATGATGGCAGTGGACTTATCGTGGTCAGTTGACGGAGACTCTCGCTTTATCGCCTAGTCTGAAGGCCGGGAACCACGTTGGCAGAAGCCCTTGGAAGCGGACCAGCAGGCCGATTACGCCTCACGGCCAGGTAAAACGCGTGCAAGTTGAGAGATTTGTTTCAGTTGGTGAGGCGGAACCTGGAAAGGGCAGCGCAGGACCAGGCGAGGTTCTACAATCTGAGGAGAAGGCCCTGGAAGCCGAAGATCGGAGAGGTGGTATGGCTAAACAATCAGCCTTTATCAAAGGAGGCAAATTAGAGGTTTGCAGCAAAACTGGCGCAAAATATACGGGTGGTACACGATAATGGATTTAGGCCACCCGTCATCTTCCGACTGAAAAGCGCCTACGACAATCGGATTGAGGAACCCACATTAGCGATCTGAAACCGCAACCGAGGAAGGACGGAGTTCAGTTTACCCCCAAAGAAGTTTACACGAAGGCGAGGGGGAAGAAAGGGAAAAGCCAATGCCGGGGCGAATACACGGATCGGGGCAAGAACTGGAAGGGATAAACCATGATAGGCGGAAGGGTAAAAAGGGGACGAAAGATACCCGAACAGGAGTGGCCAGAACTCATGTTGGAAGTGAACGGGTGTGTCAGAGTAAACGGGGATCCCTGCATTTAGGGTCCAAGGCGGGAACTACGTCTGCCAAAAGCCCTATTCGATCGTGGGAAACAATAGGGACCGGCCGTACGCGGTCTGCCGGACGGAATCGGAGCAACCTGAGAGATTTGTTTCTGTAAGGAGAGGAAGTCCGAAGTACGATCGATTCGAGGACGGAAGAAGCTGACCAGGTGGCGGGCCGTCATTCGGCAATCCGGGCGAAAGGCCGGAGGGCCTGTTGTTCGCGGGCAGGAATGATGGTCGGCATCCTGGGGTGAGTCTAGGGGAGGGCTGGAAAGAGAGGAAAGTGAGAGGTGGGATCCCAGGAATCTGGATAGTTACCGTATACAAAAGCAAATCCACTCGGTCCAGTGATCGAACCACGCTATAGCCGAAAAACCTCAAACAAAATAAGTCGTGATATAAATATAAAAGGAAAAAAAGAAAAGGAGAGGTGGACTTATCAGAGATAAGTGTGCCTAACGACCCCGAGGCGGCTGTGTAGGGTTAACGCGGCGAATAGGTTGGATAAACGGTAATTGGCCGTCTCTCATTGGTAGAAGAAAGAGAGGCACAGAAGTGGGACCTTTGTGGGACCTTGACCCAGGCACCTCCCACAGATGAGACAGAGCGAAGTGAGAGGCTCAGGCAAAGCCCCGTTAGGCGGAATGATGGCCGGACCCAAGAATATAAAAAGGGGAGCGCGTCCGTCACTCGGTTGTTTTCGCGCACGTGTCAGGAAACAAAAGGTTATGATGAGGCAACAAATGGAGAGGTATTTGGTGGAGCAACGGAGCTTGATGCGACGGGGATACTATGCCTCGTTGTCCCGGAGCCAGCGACGAGCGAATCGGCTCTCGCGTGATGGCGAAGGGGAGGGGAGGCGTCCCCTGAGCTGCAGCTCCTTGCGTCCCCACTGATCTTATCGGAAGGGTCAGTGGGAGCCACAGTGTCGCCGTTTGTGTCTTCTGGGGCCAGCGAGGCCGACAGCGATGTAGTTATGACGAGCTGGGAACCGGACCCCAAGAAGGCTCGACCAGTGGGAAGGAGGCGAAGCGGCCCTCAACAGAGGCGGAGGAGCGACCGACGGTGAGGCGGCCACAGACAGACGCCGAGGAGCGAGAAGCCGATGAGAAGCGGGTCGCTGAGTGGCGATGCGGCGGATCGCGCTGGAGGCAGCGAAGGAGGCGCTGCGGCAGCGGCAGGTCTGGGAGGACGCGCAGGCGCTGGCGAAGAAGTTGAAGGCCACGCAGGAGGAGGAGCAGGCGGCCGAGGAAGCCAAGGAAAGGGCCCGGTGGGAGGCGGAGGAGCACCACCGGACGTGTGTGCTGAAGAGGTTTCGCCGAATTGCGAGAGAAGGAGCGGCAGAGAGCAACACCAGTGGCAGGGACCACAAGGCGCGGTGATCGGGCCGTATGACGCAGGAGGTGCGTACGGCGGTGCGTGGAGGAATGGTGTGGCACCACCAAATCCTCCACATCACCTGGGCATCGGGGCCGGCACCGAGGGAGCCGGAGGCTCCGGAAGAAGCGCGGAGGAGACGCCCCGACGGAGCAATGGCCGCGACCCAAGGGGCGATCGGCGGCAGCGGAACCGGCAGCGGCGAGCGCGGCGGCAGAGTCGGCGGCGGCAGCGGACCACAGGGACCAGCCGAGCGGCGGCAGCGGAGCCCACAGCGGAACCAGCAACGGCGAGCGCGGTGGCGGCAGCGGAGCCAGCAACGGCGAGCGCGGCGGCAGAGTCGTTGGCGGCAGCGGAGCCAGCAACGGCGAGCGCGGCGGCAGCGGGCCAGCGACGGCGAGGCGGCGGCAGCGGAACCAGCAGCGGAACCAGCAACGCCGGGCGCGGCGGCAGAGGCGGTGGCGGCGGCGGCAGCGGGCCCACAGCGGAACCAGCAAAGGCGAAGGCGGCGGCAGAGTCGGCGGCGGCAGCGGAGCCAGACGGCGAGCGCAGCGGCAGAGTCGCCGGCGGCAGCGGAGCCAGCGACGGCGAGCGCGGCGACGACGGCAGGCGGGAGTAAGCTCACCTGAGCCATGGGAGCGGGGTCCGTGGCAGTGGCCCGCGCCGGAAGCCAGGCGCGCAAATCCAAGGCCGGAGCGGCAGTTGTCGTGTCCAGGAGGAGCGGGAGAGACCGCGGGCGCCATGCAGCGCCAGGCGTCGTGGCCGCAGGCACAGCTAGGGGCGGAGGGCCCACGCTGGCGGCCCGTGGGGGGCAGGGGGTGGAGTGCGTCCTGGCTCGAACGGGTTCACCTCGGCGATCAGCGGCTGGTGATGCGGGGGTCCGGTACCGGGTAACGGTGTCCCGGGACCACCAGGAGGTGTTCCGAGAAGCTGGGGCTCGTTAAGAACATAATAAACAGATTGAGAAAAAAAAACAAACGGAAAACAGACTTACGGGGGAAGGAGGGGAGGCCACCGCGAGCCGTGGCAGAGCGGCGGCAGAGGCCGGCGAGCCACGGCCGAGATGAATGGGGCTGCCGAGGAAGGGAAAGGTACCGGAACGGTACCGCACGGTGGTCGATACGCAGGTGAGGGCAAGCGATCCGAGCCGGTGACTAAAGGATGACATGTGAGAGGGCTGGTCGGTGTAAAATAGTTGTAAAGTCACTTACCAACGTCCATTAACATTTCCTCGTTGCGGAAGTGGAGTACGCACGCGGCCAAGAAAGCGATATCGAGTAGAACAGAAAACCATCCCTACATCACATTGATGGCGTATATGCAGCCCTGTGATAGTCGCGCGCGCGTGCGCATTTCACCGATCCGGCAGCACTCCATCAGGTAAGCCCGGCAGAGGGCACCAGAACGCGCCCGGTCCGGAGAGGGCGCTAGAACGCGCCCGGTTAAAAGCGCGGGCGGCCGTTTGAATTTAAAATTTAACGGCCAGTGGTACAAGAGGACGCAGAAGGGAGTTTTCCGTTAGGGAAGAAAGGGGAAGTGTGAGGAATGATATCCTCACACGCATGGACCCTAAGGGGTTAAAGTCTATCCGGGTTGTCCGGATAACCGGATAACGGCGAATTGCCTGGGAGGGTCTCGCTCAAGGGAGGGGCAACGGAGAGAGAGCCGCGATCAGAGGGCGCTACCAGGGAGAGTAAAGGAGCGCGGAAGAGAGGCGGGATAATGGGATCGGGCCGCAGTGGTCCAGCGCATGACCATTTATGGCCATGCGATCACGCCACCAGCGGGGTCCCGTTCGAGCAGGTGGAACAGAAGGGGGGTATGGGATCGGGCCGGCAGTGGTCCAGCGCATGACCATTTATGGCCATGCGATCACGCCACCGGTTTGGTCCCGTTACGAAGCAGGTGGAGAGCATCAGACTAGCCGATGGAAAAATACCGCCGACGCCTGGAGGAAAGTCCCGTTGTTGCTAGGCAGCAACGATGCGGCCGTACGCTAACAAGGAAATAAAAGGAGGCGCGCGACAGCGGCTCGAGACAGTGAAGTGCGGAGAGTGCAAGTGCGTGCATTGGCGAATACCAAGGAAAGTCGAAAAGTTATCTAAGAGCGTCAAGAGAAAGGACCTGGTGTACCGCTTGCTCAACGGAAGGATCCAGTGAGAGCGAACGTGTCGTGTGCGAACTGAGTACGGCGGATTTGGGCCTAACGCTAGGAATCGTTGTCGTACCAGTTCTAAGAGCCGACAGTGCCACGCTTGGGGATTCCGAGGAACGGCGAGTGGTCGAGAAGGACCGATTAAGTGATCATAGTGCTAAACCAAAGAATAGGCTAAGTTGTCGTCCTTAAGCGTACTTCCTAAGATACCAATAAAGAATTCGTGTATAAAGAAGCCAGCCAACCGGTGTTCCTCCTGGGTCTTTCCTATGACTATGATGTCGTCCTGATAGGCAAAGGGCATGCGGCATCATTTCGGGTCCAATCACCCTGTCAAGTGCGCGCTGGAATGTTGCAGATGCAGAGTGTAGTCCAAATGGCATCACCTTCCACTGGAACAGCCCTTTACCTGGCACCTTGAAGGCGGTAATCGGCCTGCTGCACAGTGGTCGATTCTGCCAATCTGGCAGGCAATAATTAATAACTAAAAAAATAAATGAGTAATATTTTTAAAAATATTTTTGTATTATGGAATATAAATCAGCGGAGTATTTAAATAAATTTTTATTTTTTATTATTTTTTTTTTAATTAAAAAAAAATTTTTTACGTAAAATTATATCACTAACCCTTTGAATTTGGCGATGTTCTGTGCAGTTAGAAAATGGTTTTGCTGGGCGCCCAGAACTAATTGCAGCTGTTGCAGTAAATATAATTTTTTCGTTCATCAATTTTCGTTGTGTTTTTGAAAATATTGTAAATTTATTTATTTTCTTGCGATCTTCGTCGCTGAGTTTGTTTTCATCAATAATTTGAGAAAAAACATGGCTTCGCATCGCTTCAACTTTTTTTCCTGGCACAGTTTCCATGCGCCATATCGCAAAAAGCGCGTTTTTCGGAACTGACATTTGTCCTACAAAATCAAATAAATTAACGTGTTGCACGTAGTTGCAATTTGTTTTAACACAGAAGATTAAAAAAATACTGGTTTCATAAATAAACGAGAAGGAACGTGTGAGTCGCTTCTTGGGAACGCGACTCTACTTATACCCGTACTCAGTCAGCATATACATTTTTGAGCATATAATTATTTAGAATTAAAAAAAAAAAAAAACATTTTACATTTTACATTTTTTTGCTACATCTGCTATCTACATCTACATATACTATGTATATTCTACATCTAACATGTATATTATACATGTACCATTTAGATTCTACATCTCCTCCGCTAGGGGTTGCTCGCGCACTGAACGCGGCAGAGTGTGCGAGCGAGAAGGAAAATGAGTTGCGTTGTCGTTGTCAGGAGTGGTCAGGGGAAGCAACTGAAAATTGATTTCTTCATTCTGGCTATAATTATAATACGATCTAGTTCAGATTTTGCAATCTGGTAGATATGGGCATTCTCTACGATACTGCGTTTTTAGTTTTATCGTATCTTTAAAATTGTGCCTGCCACAGATTTTCGTCCTTTGTGTGGGCGGAAGGGGGCGGGGCGAAATTCTGAAATATACTTGTAGCAGTGTGATATCACATAAGTCTGGAAACCAAATTTGGTTTCGCTAGCTTTTATAGTCTCTGAGATCCAGGCGCTCATCGAGACGGACAAACGGACGGACGGACGGACATGGCTATATCGACTCGGCTATTGATGCTGATCAAGAATATATACACTTTATGGGGTCGGAAAATTTTCCTTTCTCTCCGTTACACACATCCACTTTTACCACAAATCTAATATACCCCTTAACTCTTTTTTGAGTACGGGTATAAAAAAGATTGAAGGCGGAAGGGGCGGATGTCAAAAGATCTATTCCATGCAAGTGTCGGGTACGATATTAATAGCACACTAAAGGAAATGTTAAGTTCTACAACGATTTACCTCTAATACATGCAAGCACGGGGACCAACACATATATTTTTTATGGAAAACTTACCAACTATGATCAAAATGGATGGCAATTTTAATACAAATCGCAAAACATTAAGATTTATTTTGCTTTACCAAAAGCAATAAAAAGGCGGTAAAAATGTACTTAGGTATGGACAGAAAAGTTTGCTGCGATTCAACCGCGTGCAGGTACTGGACTATCGATACGAAAAATATATTAATATCGCAATAAATATCAGTGGGATGTTTACTTTCCAAAAAGTAAAAAAAATTAACAAGATTCGACATTTTAATTTTTGATTTACCAGATAGGCAGAATCGACCACTGTGCGCCGTACGCACCTCCTGCGTTACATACGGCCCGATCACCGCGCCTTGTGGTCCCTGCCGCTGGTGTTGCTGCTGCTGCCACGAGGCGTCCGCTCCCGGCCGCTGTTGCTATGACGAGGCTTGGGGCCCCTGTCCTCCTTCGGGGAACCTAGGCTCTTCCTCGGTCCGTGGCCGTCGCTGCCACAGCTCCTCCTCCTCCTCGTCCGGCGTGGCCTGGCCTCGGCTCTCGGGCTCCGGCGTCGGAGGGGAAGGCTGCCACAGACCCTCCTCCTCCTCTGCGCTCCGCCTCGCCTCTTCCTCGCGGCTCTTCTCCTCGGCCCTCTGCCACTCCTTCTCTCGCAATTCGGCCGCAAACCTCTTCAGCACACACACTGCCGCAGCGCCTCCTTCGCTGCCTCCAGCGCGATCCGCCGCCGCCACTCCGCGACCCGCTCTCCTCGGCTTCTCGCTCCTCGGCGTCTGTCGTTGGCCGCCTCACCGTCGGTCGCTCCTCCGCCTCTGTTGAGGGCCGCTTCGCCGGCCGCTTCGCCACTGGTCGAGCCTTCTTCGGGGCCGGTTCCCAGCTCGTCATAACTACATCGCTGTCGGATTCGCTGGCCCCAGGAGACACAAACGGCGACGCTGTGGCTCCAACTGACCCTTCCGATGAGATCAGTGGGGACGCAAGGAGCTGCAGCTAAGGGGCGCCTCCTCTCGTCGCCCTTCGCCATCACGCGAGAGCCGATTCGCCTCGTCGCTGGCCCTCGGGACAACGAGGCGATAGTCGCGCCCCCCCAACCTTGTGTTCTTAAATTCCATGCAACCCTTTTTTTACCAGACACAGTGCGCGAAAAAAACCGAGTGACGGACGCGCCCTCCTTTTTATATTCTTGGGTCCGTGTCCATCGTTTCCGCCTAAGGGGCTGTTGCCTGAGCCCTCTCACCTTCGTTCTCTCTCATCATTCTGCTGGCTCTCTTTAATTCTACCGATGAGAGACGGCCAAGTACGTTTATCCAAACTATTCGCCGCGTTAACCCTACACAGCCGCCTCGGGGTCGTTAGGCACACTTATCTCTGATAAGTCTTTGATGATAGATTTTGTTTTTTATAACTTTTTGTGTGAAAATTTGTTTTCTGAAAAAATTGCAATTGGTTTTAAACCAACCTGTGTGGTTTTTAAAGTTAAATGTCGAGACGATTAAATTTGGATCGGCGAACGCGAAATTCGTTTCAAGTTTTGGCTTTAAGGAGCTGTGAAAGTAGCAAATACATTACACATCGCAATGAAAATAATCGTCTACGCACAAACCCGTTCAAACCAACGGAACAATGATGCAACAACAACTGCAAATGAACGTCGTTCGCGTACAGTAGTGTCACCGATTACGCTTCTCATAGGCAAATTATAATTGGTCCAATGAACGACCGTTGTCGCCATTGTCAGGCATTAAAATTTAAAGGTGATGCAGATGGGATGTGCTGTGCGAGTGGTAAATTGAAATTGCCTGAATTAGGCAGCCCACTACAACCATTGAACTGAGGTGTCCAAGTTTGAAACTTAAATTTTTTGAACAATATACAAAAGTATAATTCGAGTTTTCAAATGACATCTTTTGGCGCCACAAATATTATAAGAGACAACTTCATGCCAACGTTCAAGGTAATTAAATAGTTTTGTTTATGCAAATTGTACGTTTGTTCTCATTCTATCATATATTTTATTCAGATTCAAGGTCAAATATACCATCGAGCTGGCTCTTTGTTACCTTTCGACAACGCAGACCACCAATTTTTGCAATTATATTTTATCGGGAACGCGGAAGACGAAGCTGATCGTCGGTGTGCCATTATTACCAACACGCGGAGACAAATTATTTTCGATTTGCAAAATATGTTCCATGAGCACAACGAGTTGGTTCAGGTTTTCAAAACATCGTTTGATGGAATGCCATCTGACGATCAAAAAATTGTTATTCGAGCTGATAAAACACCGGTTGGCGAACATGCAAGGCGTTTCAATGCACAAACAGTTGACGAAGTGGCAATAGTCATAGTTGGTGAGCAATTTAATAATCGTGATATTGTGCTTCATCGTAGAAATGAACAACTTGAACGTGTATCCAAGACTCATCGCTGTTATGATGCACTACAATATCCCATATTGTTTTGGAGCGGACAAGATGGCTATAATTTCAACATTAAAATGATAAATCCAGTAAACGGTCGAGAAGGAACAAAGAAAGTTAGTGCTATGAATTATTACGCATACAGGCTGCAGGTACGGCAAAATCAAGACAACCACATATTGAGGAGTAGAGCACTTTTCCACCAGTATATTGTTGACATGTATGCAAAAATTGAATCGGAACGGTTAAATTTTCTTTGACTCAACCAAGCCAAATTACGTTCCAAAGAGTATGTTCATTTGCGTGATGCCATTAACAACGATGGTAATGCACAAAACGTTGGAACTATGATAATATTACCGTCATCGTATGTTGGAAGTCCACGTCATATTTTTGAGTACGCGCAAGATGCGATGTCATACGTTCGCCGTTACGGCAGACAAGACCTCTTCATCACCTTCACGTGTAATTCGCAATGGGAAGAAATCTCGGAATTATTGTTTGTTGGCCAAACATCGAAAGATCGCCATGATATTTTAGCACGTGTTTTTTAGACAAAAATTGAAATCACTCATGGATTTAATTGTCAAACACGGTGCATTTGGGTCTGTTCAATGTTGGATGTATTCAATTGAATGGCAGAAACGAGGTTTGCCTCATGCGCATATTTTAATTTGGCTGATTGAAAAAATAAGGCCGAATCAAATTGACGATGTGATTTCAGCAGAAATTCCAGATCCGACAGTGGATCCTGAATTGTTTGAAGTGGTCACCAAAAATAGATAGACGCATAAACTAGGCGTCGTTTAAGGCATGAAGAAAATACCAGATTTTAAAAATTCTTTAAAAAAATTACACCATAAAAAAAATAAAGTACTACAAAATTTTTTAGTTCCGAAATCTATCAGAAAAAGTCATTTTGGTCCACAGCCTAAAGAAAAAGTTCAATTTCGTTGAGTAGTTTAATCATTGTTTAATTTTGATTAATTCCTAAACATTAAATGCATTTTGTAAGCAGCGAAGCGCGCGGGTCTGCTAGTATATTATAATTTGAAAAATACATCGAATATTCTTATTATATATCAACTCCAGCCTCAATTCTTTCTACAGCTGCTATTATCTCATGTTATAAGAAAAATTGTTCTCGCTTCAACACGGTCCACCACGGGTCCGCCTGTTGTTAATTCTTGCCCCATAATCCTCCCACTCGCCTTGCATGGCAAATAAAGCAAACATAATATAATCGAGCAAACTGTGTCGTGATTTCAATAAAATTATACATTTCGATCTAACTCTACGCTATTGAAAAAGCTCAATAGCTCAACAATTTGGTGACCCCGACGTGATTCAAAGCATATATATATTAGAGCCCTGCACGAATCCACATGATTCATTCGATCATTACGAATCATGCCTTCAGAAAGATTCGAATTCCTAAAAAACCGAATCCGAGCACTGCGAATCAATATCAGCAAGATTCGTTCGCTTGGCTCTGAACTGATTCGAAACATACTACGAAGAAAACTTCCTTTGTATGCGTGCACATGTACAGTAGGTATGTAAAACAATATTGCGCACACGGAGTGTGTGATTATTGTTGTATTTTTTTTTGTATTCATATATTTTTAACTTTAAACTTTAGCGTGGCTTACACCTAGTAACAAATAACAATAACAGTAAGGTGTGACAGACAGGGGGCTGATGGGGGGTAGGGGTCGTGCGTCGAGTGGTACTGCCGCAAGGCATTGCTTTGCCGCCGCGAGGACACCTACTCCGTCCGTTCCTTCCGCCTTCTCTCCAGGGACCTTCTCTTGGGCCGCTTCCCAAACTCTTGGCTGCTCCGTCTCCTGGCCGAAGCGCTTGAGATAGCTGCGGAAACAGCCGTGCCCGCTCAGAGCCTGGGTGAGGTAGAAGTCTACCTGCCCGTGCTTCCGCTCCACCCAGCACGCTATGCGCAGGATGAGGGTGTGCGTCCAGCGCCCTTTTTGTGAGCTGTCCCACCTTGCCTGCCAATTCTCCAAGCTGCTCCTCCTGGCGGCAACCTTCAGCTCGGCCACGGTGTGAGCCGCTTCTCTGTCGTGAGTGGCGTCGTGTATGTCCTTCCTCTCCCGTATCAGCTCACCGAGAGGGATTTGCCCGGCGATGACCAGCGCTGCTTCGTCCGAGATGGTCCGGAACGAGCACGTGATTCTGATGGCCTCTGGTGTTTAGCAGCATTCGAGAGAGCGATCCTGCGGTCCCGCTGGCCTTCCGGTGGGCGACCAAGGTGCTACCTGCTCGCATGGTACATATATAATTACATTAAAAATTCGCGTGCTGGTTTAACTCAAAACACAAGATCGACTGGACAGAACAAAAATAAAGATAGGGAAACAAAGTAAAATTGACTATTTATTGCACTGATATGTATTGCACGGCATGATGTTCTTGCATCAGCTGAGGTGTTGTTGTAATGCTGCATTGATGTTGCTACGACAGCAGACTGCCACCATACCATGATCATCCTAGCCGCAAGACCAAATTAGTGGCCGATGATCCCTGAAACAACCACCACCTTAACCTATCTCCATACTACAGCGAGGCATGGCTCCCCACAACACGAACAAACTAGAACATATTAAAATTCATTTAAACTTATTTATTAAAGACAGATTTCCATTTTTCCTAACCCAAAATCTCTAAAATCTCGGAATTCAACAATATACGAATTCAGAATATATCCAGATAATGACAAAGGGTATGTGTAAGTCGGCTATCCAAAAAAAATGACTGGTTTGCAATATAACTAGTTAAAAATATAAAGAGTACAAATTTATACATAACATTAGTAAAAATTAATAAAAGTTATCTAAATAAAAAGCGAGGAAATTAAACTGGCATGCCTATCTAAAAGTGTCGCCAAAAAGGTTAAAATTGTTCATATTAAACCCGGTCTCCAATCGAGACTGTCAAACTGCACTCTTTACGTTCCAGTGCTTCTTAAACTGTGCTCTTTTTCTTTTGTTGTATTGCAAATATAATTACTTTAAAACTGTGAGGGGTACAATAACTGTTCCGTTTTATCTGAAACTTGGATTCTCCCTCTCTTCTCTTTTATACCTTTATGTATGCATTCTAAGCAATATCTAAGGATGGTACTTACGTGCCATCCATCTCCAAAAGCGCTTTTATTGATGCGATGCGACGACTCGGCTATAATTGCTGTAACACCCAAAGAAAATCAAAAGAAAGCACACACCAAGCAAGAAGGGGGAGAGAAACCAAAGGCATATAGGCCTGCGTTATAATTTTTTTCTGTTCCCTTTGTTGTTTCTTTACGCCCTCTCAGTATTGAACTTTTATCTCTGCTCTATGCACTTTACATTTCGGCTCTCATTGCTAATATGGCGATTATCAATAAGTGGCTGGGAAAAGAGAGACACTTACGAAAATTAAAAGGGAACGACGATTAAAATGTAAAACGGCATCTTCTACCGCTCTCAAAAAAAAACTATTTTTAACTATTCCACTACACTTATGCCATTTCTAGCGGCTCACTCATATATGGCAATTATGACGAAGCTCCTCTGCGGGTTTTTTTTTCCAGTCAATTGGGATTTTGCTTTCTGGTGGTATGGCTTTTGCACTAGCACTAATAAATTATCACGCTCTAATTAGGCTAGAGAGGCAGATTTACGAAAAGAAAACGGATATAAATTATAAACGAAAAAGGATGTTTTTTAACCCCGACGTGTTTCGGTTTAAATTCCGCAGCTTCTCCGTTCCGACGATGTCTTCGGAGGGGCGAATTGCAACTAATTCGGCTCCAAATTGCAGAGAGCGCTTATCTCTGCTTAGTTACGCATATTACAAGGCGGCGAATTTCCGACCAGATGTATGCATGCCAGCTGATTTGTTGCTGGTTTTAGTCGGCGAATCGATCTCACTTAGTTAATTGGTGGTCAGCTGCTAATGAGCCAGCGATGGATTTGGCAATTCGAATTTAAAAATTGCACTAAGTGCCAATTCTGCAATTGCACATAGAGAAAAATATATGGTTGTTCTACAAGTTGCCCAAAAATTGATACTGAAAACCAAATCTGGCCGACTTACCGCTTTTTGGCAATTGGCACTCTTGTTACTTAAACTCGTTATCTTCGATCTCTTTTAAATATTGAACCGAAAAACGATATGATTTCACCTCAACTCGGTTTTAGATAGTCGCTATATAATTAACTTTTTTCTGAGAGACGTAACCTCTTCGGGTGGGGACCAGCATAGAAAAGACCATGACAGTAGCTGGGCTCACCTACCAGAACCTGTTAACAGCGAAAGTGCCCCATCCGCCATTGCCCAATAACTAACATAAATAGGTAGCTACAACACTCTCACTCCCGATCGTTGCGACCTTGCACCGCCGATTATGAACACTAGGGGCGCTAGCATAAGCTTCAAAATTCGCCTAGGGAAATTTTAATTTCGGTGGTTCTAAAATCTTTACTTCAAGCGACACTACAGCTTCGATAGCTGCACTCCGGCTGAATGTTTCCAGCGAGAGACTAGGCGCCAAGTAGCAGCTGTATAGCCAGGTCCCACCTACACTCGCACGGACGAATCCTTCTGCCGACTTGGTGTCGCGCATCTGTGGCGCCTCCGCTCCGCAGAGCCACAGGGCCGCTTTGCCAGAGCGGTCCGTGGCCCATTCGCTGCTGCTGCCCACCCTATAAGGCTCGCTGAGGATTGCCACCTCCGAACCCAGTTCGCGCACCGTCTGCGCCAGGAGATCCTGCGCAGCTCTGCAGTGAT